TTGTACCAAAGGTAATTTTCTCTGATAGTAATGCGTGATATATATTGGAGCAGGGTGCAATGCAGTAAAATGTCCATACTGAAAAGTCTTGTGTATATTTTGCCAGGACTCTCCCTCAAGTCTCGCTTCAGGGATGTGCAGCCAGTGGATGAGGAGCCGGTAGATGGAGACCATACCTCTTCTGTATTGGAAAGAATGCTTAAAGATGTACAGCTGATAAAAGCGCACATCTTGTCTCTGCAGAACAAGGAAAAGCTGGAGAAAGAACGGGAAGATACACAGGAGAGACTGGAACTGTGGCTGTACTACAGTCATCTGTTGGTAGTCATCGCATTTTGTATAACAATAGTTCTCAAATGGATCACGTAAGCTTTTACACCGACTAAACCAAGGGGAAAAAAGCCCTTTGAGGCTGCTTGCTACTGTTGAATGAATGCAATACACTGAGGACTAACATTTGTCAAGACTTTTTTTTTTATCTGTTGCATTTGCCTTAACCCCTTTGCTGCCAAAGCCATTTCTTCATTTTGTGCACACTGTTTACTTGAATATGGTTAAAACCTCAAAACGTTTGGGGGATTTATCAAAGTTGGAGCAGACAAAATCTGGTCGGATGATATGTGCGCTACTGTTTATCATATCTATTCATATCTAAATTCATCTTGGTGCACACAAAAAAAACAATACAATCCCCACTTTTTTGTAAAATATAAAAGATGAGGTTTTGTTGTAAATTATGTCAAACCTCAAAATTGTGTGCGTGCATGAGACAGCGAAAAACACATTACCCAACATTGTGCATAGTCAATGGACGTGCTCAGTGAAACCTAATATGTGTTGCGCAATAGTCATTTGCAGTCGCGTGTGAACCTGACACATGTATTTATTTTATTTTGTTAAACCTTAACATTTTTTGTTTGGGGGGAAAAAAAGAAAAAGTGCTGTGAAGCCCCATATGTGATAGAATAGTACAGGTGACAGGTCCTCTTTAAGAAGGCATCAGGCATCTTTTTAGACTTTGCTGGAACTGTGTCGACCAGCTGCTTCATCAGCCTGAGCCACTTTGGTTTGACAGCCCTGAACCTAGAAGGGCTCAGACCTGAGTGCCTCTGGGTTTATACTTCACAGGTCACAGATCGGCAGTCTCCTGCTGCTCTACAACCCGAGAGCTGCTGTGAAGGTCCAGGGCACCCAGGAAGGACAAGTAAGCCCAGGGCACAAGTCAGGGGAAGCCAATACTGCCACCTCTCAAATGTATGTTCTTCTCCTATCTCAAGGGGGACTTCCTATTTCAAAAAAATCATGCAGCAACCACATGCCAAGCGTTTAGCATGCGACACCGCACGGTCCTATGGACTTTAATAAGCACATTTGGCGAGCAGTAGCCACTGCCAATTTTAACAGAGCTAAAATGACTAGACCGTGACGCAAAGTATTGCAGACATGGTAATGTGTACGAACTTCTCGGGCCACCATGTTAATCGGCAGTTGGGGGGGGGCAGTAAAAACATGGATCATCCATCTGCTCTTACTGCCCGTGTGCAGCAGCAAAAGAATTACCAGGTCTGAAGGACTAAATACCTGATTTAAATGCCCCGATCTTATCCTATATAGCTGGCAGGGGAAAAAAAGGTACCCCAAAATTCAGCGATAGCAGAGGCGCCCAGAAACAAGACCATGAGCATTTAGGTGGTTCTTCAATCAGTAGGTACTCATTGGATGATAAATTGACACACAAACCAGCGTCTCAACGCGTTTCGTGATGTATTTATTGCATCATCAAACAAGTTGTCTATATGTCAAATGCAATCTTATAATATGGTTAAAACAGATATTCTTTCAGATATTACTTAAATAGGTTTACAACATACGCTCTATAGATTTGTGTCATTGATATATTTTTGTTGTTTTTTTAAATACTTTTTATCTGTTAGTGTCTCTCCACACCCTTCTGAGGAAGTGGCCAGCTAGAGCCACAAAACGCATTCAGGGTGTTTTTTGTTGTTGATTTATCATCCAATATATACCTATTAATCGAAGAACCACCTAGAGCACCTCATGGTCTTGTTTCTGGGCACCTCTGCTATCGCTGACTTGTGGAGTATCTGTTTTTCCTGCCTGCCACAACAAACACTTCAGGATTCCCGAGCCACCAAGCCTGGAACCCGACAAGCATCGAGCGCGACCATTCCCGATATCGGACAACGAACAAGACGTCCTCTGCCCAGGGACAGTTATATACCCCGCTACTCCTTCTTTGCCGGATATCACCTAACAAGACATTCCGCAACCACGGTGGTGTAGTGGGATCCACCTATTGATCCCAGCAGTGGTCGCGTGCTGTTCTGTGTGCATCTCACGTGTTTCAGCTGTGCAGCACCAAGCATCCGTTAACCCCTTGTTAGCTTTGTAGTGGCTCAGACCCCCTGGAATACTATGAACACAAGGCTCTCAAAGTACTCATGGCTCAGGGGGAATCTCAGCTTGTCGCCCCTTCATGGCAGAGCCCACCTCTGAGAGCAACCTATGCCTGGCCTGACCAGTATTACCGTGTTCTCTCCCCACATACATTCCTTCGTATGGATACAGCAGCAATCCAGCCCACCACCAGTA